TGTCTGGCCAAGAGCCATAGACAATCAATCCCATGTTCAAGACCAAGTGGCAGAATGCATCAGGGTGGCTTTCAGAATTGCTATAGGCCAGTGTCTCCTGTGGGCCTCACGTTTTCCCTCTGTTGAACGGGAGAGTCTTTCACAGTTTAGCAGAATGATGAGTATGTGGATGGTAGACAATGTGTCTCTTCAGCCCTTAAGTTGATATTCAGAGGAACTGTACTCAAGGGGCTATACCGTAGAAACCAAAATCCAGGTACTTCATCCCCGTGTGGACCTGATAAAGATGGTATGATCTTGCACTTCAAGCCTGAGCCTGATGATGAACATTGTAGGGGATACTGAGTAGGAATGAGTGTATTTTTCAAGTGGGAGAAATATTTTTTTAAAACAATTGTGGCCAGAGGGTAGATTGTGCTCATTTTAAAACACATCCATACTCTCTTTGATATTCATCCCATAAAAAAGGTAGAATACGGGCCAACTTTAGTGAGTTGTCTCTAATGAATAGAATGTGGTCAAAGTGATGCCTTGTGAGCTCTGACACTAGGGTAGGAAAGGCTCTCGATCTTAGACTGCTTGCCCTTGCAGCCCAGCCCCCATGCTCAGAGGAAGCTCAGACCGTAAGGAAAGCCTAGGTGGTCCAGGGCAGGGTTTCCTATCGGTGATATTGTGGTGTGGGTTATACACCTCTGAATATACAAGAGACACTGAATGGCACACTTTAAGTGGGTGAACTGTACAGCACATGAATTACATCTCAAGAAAGTTGTCTTAATTCTCTATTTTGGATATACATATTATACACGATGTGAATATTTCTTTAATTTTACAATATGTCTAAAATGAATGGAAAATAAAAGAAATGCCTAACTTTTCAAATAGTGTGCAAATTAACCTAAAACGTTATCATTTTTGAGAAAAGTGTTAATGGCCTTTCTGTATAAGTTTTCCTGAAATCCATGAAATTATGTATAGAACCTCTTCATTCACAAAAGTGAGGATAAGAAATAAGACAATTTTCTAGAACATTCCATTATACATTATACTCTGATTTAGTTTGTTCTGCCTCACCACAGCAATAAAGACATCCCTGAAAAATACAGTGTAACAGAAAAAAAGTTTTTCAAGTTTTCTGAGGCATGATGTATAATTCTGTTTTCTTAAGTTTAAATATTTTTTAAAATCTGTGTAATTATTTTAAAAATGGTAAGAATGTAAG